GATCCCCTGGATCCGCACAGTCCGTCTCCAGCTGCGCGAGCGGTTCGGCCAGGACCTTCCTGTCCTTCGTCTGCACTCAGACAGAGGTGGTGAGTTCTCCTCCGACCTCTTGTGTGCCGCTTGACCCAGGTATAGAGGCTGCTGCTCTAGGTGCTAGTGTACACGGACGGGCCGTCACTTGGCCACGTTCACTCGTCGGCCTAGGTCGATTCTGTACACAATGGCTACCGAGCCTCCTCAGGTAGCTGCGTCCGCCCAGGTTTCCGCGTCATGTCCGGTAGCACCCCCTTGCTCGTGTCGCCTCCTGTCGCACCAGACTCTCCTGTGGCACCACTACCTTGGTCACCCCTCCCTGCCACGCCTTTGTGGCATGCACTCCCGCCTCCTTGTCTCTGGTCTTCCCAGGTCTCTGCCTCCCCTCCCACCCTCGCTTGCCCCGCCCTGCCTTCCTTGCGTCGAGGGGCGGCAGCGCGCCGCTCCTCACTCCTCCTCGTTTCCCCCGACGACTGCTCCCCTGCAAACTCTCCACATGGACGTGTGGGGCCCAGCCCGCGTTAGTGGACAGGGCCGCGAGCGCTACTTTATACTGGTTGTTGACGACTACACGCGCTACACCACGGTCTTCCCCTTACGCAGCAAAGATGAGGTCCCTGATGTTTTGATCCCTTGGATCTCCGCAGTCCGTCTCTAGCTCCGCAAGCGGTTCGGCCAGGACCTTCCTGTCCTGCGTCTGCACTCTGACAGAGGTGGTGAGTTCTCCTCCGACCTCTTGCGGGACTTTTGTCGTGGGGAGTGCATTCTCCAGTCGTTCACGCTTCCGGCCTCCCCTCAGCAAAATGGGATTGCCGAGCACGACATTGGCTTAGTAATGGAGGTCGCTCGTACCTCCATGATCCATGCGGCAGCTCCCCATTTTCTGTGGCCGTTTGCGGTCCGGTAAGCTGCGCATCAGCTCAACCTTTGGCCTCGTGTCTCCTTGCCGGAGACATCGCCGACACTACATTGGACGGGGAAGGTTGGCGATGCGTCGGTGTTCCGGGTCTGGGGCTCTCGTACCTTTGTTCGCGATACGTCCGCAGACAAGCTCTCCGCCCGCGCTATTCGCGGCGTCTTCCTTGGCTTTCCCCCTGACGCGCCTGGCTGGCAGTTTTACCACCCCACCTCGCGCTGTATCATCTCCTCTCAGGACATCACATTTGACGAGCCGGTTCCCTTTTACCGTCTCTTCCCCTATCGCTCTACCCCTCCCCCACCCCCGCCGCTCTTCCTTGCCCCAGGTCCCCATCCGATAGACCCCCTCCCCCCCCAGGATCCTGCTCCCTCAGGTGTGTCTCAGGTAGACCCTCTCCCTGGTACTGTGCCTGTTGAGGTAGCTGTCGGCTCAGGTGCTAATCGAGGTGCTGCGACTGGGGGTGCTGCGTTTGGGGGTGCGGAGCCTGTGGGTGCTGAGCCTGGGGGTGCTGAGCCTACGGGTGCGGAGCCTGGGGGTGCTAAGCCTGCGGGTGCGGAGCCTGGGGGTGCTGAGCCTGAGGGTGTGGAGCGTGGGGGTGCTGAGTCGGAGGGTGCGGAGTCTGGGGGTGCTGAGTCTCGGGGTACTGCTTCTTCTGGAGGTCCTGCGGGTGCTTCGTCACCACTCTCTCCCCGGCCGGAGCCTCTCTCCCCGCAGCAGCTGCGCGAGTGGTTTGGTCAGCGCACCCGCCTTCGGAGTGGTGCTACCGGAGCTGGAGTCTCTGCCGTTGGTGACACTGGAGCTGGAGGTGTTGGAGTTACTGCTGGAGCTGGTGGTACCGGAGGTGCTGCAGCTGCTGGTTCCTGAGGTGCTCGTACCAGAGGTACTAGAGCTGCCGGGAGTGGTAGTGTTGGGGGCGCTGGAGCTGGAGGAGCTGGAGCTGGAGACCCTGCGGAGCCTGGAGGCGCTGGAGCTGGAGGCACTGGCGCTGGTGGCGGTGGAGCTGGAGGAGCTGGAGCTGGTGATACTGGAGCTGTTGGCGCTGGAGCTGGAGGCACTGGCCCTGGTGGCGCTGGCGCTGGAGGAGCTGGAGTTGGAGACACTGGGACTGTTGACCCTGGAGCTGGAGGTGCTGGAGCTGGAGGTGGTGTGCTTGGCGGTACTGGTGCTGGAGGCACTGTGCGGCTGCGACCGTACTTCGTTCACCTACTTAAGCAGGTTCTTGGTCTCCCGTCTTCTATTGGCCTTACTCCTCCCTTACTGTGTCCATCGCCTGACCAGTAACAGCCGCCGTTACTACCAGCCTCCCCACTTCCTGCTCCTTCTCCTTATAGTGAGTCGACTGGAGGTCTTACAGAGCGTCGTGAGCCTGAGTCTCGTCCTGCCTCGCCTGTTCGCTCTGTTTGCACTGGTCGTAGGAATCCTTGTCCGCGTCCTCCTCCTGTCCCTAGCACCCACGCTATGGCACTTCGTCCTTCCTCTGTTCCACTGCGTGTTCCTCTGCCGCCTCCTCCTGAGTCCTCTCTTCATGCAGTCCCTGACCCTGAGTCTGAATTCGCTCGTGCTGCCAGTCCCACTGTCTCTCGTCTCCTCGCCACTGTTGTCACTAACCCTTCTTTTGAGTCCACTGCTGCGTCTGCCCTCGTTGCTGAGCTATTTGAATTTGCTGCTGCTTGTCGTCTAGACTACGCCACTGCTCTTGTTGCTGAGTCTGAGTCTGAGTCTGTCCGTCCTCTGTCCGTCGGGGATGAGTGTGCTCTTGGCACGGACGTCCTTGAGGACAGGCATGAGGACCTTGAGTGTCTTGCAGCTGCTGTACCTCGTTTCGCTTCCATGCTGCTTGCCCCTGAGGGTGACCCAGATGCACCAGACATTCCGACCCCGCTCTCTTACGCAGAGGCGATTACGGGTCCTTACTCCTCTCAGTGGCAGGCAGCCATGGATGCTGATATGGCATCCTTGATGTCCACAGGCACTTACGTCGACGCAGTTCCCCCGTCTGGGGCGAATATAGTCGATGGCATGTGGATTTTCAGGGTGAAGCGGCCGCCGGGTTCTCCGCCTGCCTTCAAGGCACTTTAGGTTGCTCGAGGCTACAGTCAGCGACAGGGGGTCGACTACTTCCAGACCTTCTCCCCCACCCCAAAGATGACCACTCTTCGGGTGTTGCTGCACGTTGCTGCTCAGCGTGACTACGAGTTGCACTCTCTCGACTTCAGTACACCTTTCTTGCAGGGCAGCCTGCACGAGGAGATCTGGCTGCGCCGCCAACCTGGCTTCACTGGGTCGTTTCCTGCAGGTACCCAGTGGAGCCTCCGACGGCAAGTCTACGGTCTCCGTTAGGTGCCTCGCGAGTGGCACGACACACTGAGGACTACACTTGCGGCTCTGGGGTTTACTCCTTCGACTGCTGACCCGTCGCTGTTTCTACGCACCGACAGGTCGCTGCCGCTGTTCTACGTCCTTGTGTACGTCGACGACCTCGTCTTTGCCACTGCTGATACTGAGGCACTGACCCTTGTGAAGTCGGAGCTGCAGAAGAGACACACCTGCACTGACCTCGTTGAACTGCACAGCTATCTTGGCTTGCAGATCACCCGGGACAGAGCACGGCGCACCATCACACTGACTCAGTCACACATGGTGCACCAGGTCCTTTAGCGCTTCGGCTTCCTGTTCTCCTCGCCACAGCCCACTCCTCTGTCTACCAGCCACTCACTCTCAGCTCCACCTTCGGACGAGTCCGTAGAGCCGAGTGGTCCGTACCCAGAGCTTGTGGGTTGCCTCATGTACCTGATGACGTGCACACGACCTGACCTCGCGTACCCTCTCAGCCTCCTGGCTTGCTACGTGGCTCCCGGCAGGCACCGAAAGGTATACTGGGATGCTGCGAAGAGGGTACTGCGTTACTTGTGTAGTACGTCGGGCATGGGGCTCGTGCTTGGAGGATGGGGTCTAGTTGTCCTCACTGGTCACGAAGACGCTTCTTGGGTTGACGACTTGGCTACGCAGCGGTCGTCACAGGGTTACACCTTCAGCCTCGGTTCCGGCTCTGTTTCATGGCGGTCTACCCGCTCGTCTGCGGTTCTCAGTTCGAGTTGTGAGGTTGAGATCTACGCCGGGGCCATGGCTGCACAGGAGTTACGCTGGCTCACCTACCTGCTGACTGACTTGGGAGAGCAACCTCGTTCGCCTCCATTTCTGTACGTAGACAACAAGGCCATGATTGCCTTGTGTCAGGAGCACAGACTGGAGCACAGAACGAAGCACATCGCTCTGTGATACTTCCTTGCTCGAGAGTTGCAACAGCGTTGTCAGCTTCGTCTTGGGTACGTGGCCACTAGGGCCAACACTGCTGATATATTCACCAAGGCACTTCCACCTGGTGATCATTAGCGTTTCTCTACTGTTTTAGGCCTTGTGCCTACTTTGCCTCACTTGCTCACTGCATGACTTTGCTTGTACTGTGATCTATACATATACCTACATGCTTACTCTTGCTAGGCTATAATCACTGTATTGTTTGTGCTCTTTATATAACAGTGCATGTGAACTGGCCTTGTGGCCCTTTGCTTGTGCTCGGACTGCGTGGTGACTTTGTGATCCACCCTGAGCTTGCTTTGCTTTTCTTGACTGGTCTTATGACCACTTGTTCTCCTCCACTTTGCCTATGGGGGTGTGTCAAAATTGTGAAAGAATAGACGAAAAAATGATGGAATTAGGAAAATGAGAAGGGTACAAGTAGGAAACACATAAGTGTTGTACCCTCTAAGGACTACCCCACTACAGCCTAAACAGACTATAGTAAATATATGTTTGACACACCCCCATAGGCAAAGTGGGGGAGAACAAGGGGTCACAAGACCACTCAAGAAAGACAAAGCAAACTCAGGGTGGATCACAAAGTCACCACACAGTCTGAGCACAAGTAAAGGGCCAGAAGGCCAGTTCAGATGCAGAGTTATATAAAGGAAAGCAAACAATACAGTGAACACAACCTAGCAAGTGTAAGCATGCAGGTATAGGTATATAGAGTACAGTACAAGCAGAGTCAAGAAGTCAACAAGTGAGGCACAGTAGGTACAAGGCCTAACACAGTACAGAAACGCTGATGATCACAAGGCTGAAGTGCCTTGGTGAAAACATCAGCAGTGTTGGCCTGAGAGGCCACGTAAGCAAGACGAAGCTGGCCACGCTGCTGCAATTCTCGAGCAAGGAAGTAGCGCAGAGCAATGTGCTTCGTTCTGTGCTCCAGTCTGTGCTCCTGACACAAGGCCAGCATGGCCTTGTTGTCGACGTACAGAACTGGAGGAGAACGAGGCGCCTCTCCCGAGTCGGTCAGCAGGTAGGTGAGCCAGCGAAGCTCCTGTGCAGCCATGGCCCCAGCGTAGATCTCAGCCTCGCAACTGGAGCTGAGAACAGAAGAAGAGCGGGTAGACCGCCAGGAGACAGAACCGGAGCCAAGGCTGAAGGTGTAACCCTGTGACGACCGCTGCGTAGCCAAGTCGTCAACCCAGGAGGCGTCAGCGTGACCAGTGAGGACAACTCGAGCCCGTCCTCCAAGCACGAGCCCCATGCCCAATGTACTGCACAAGTATCGCAACACCCTCTTCGCAGCATCCCAGTGCACCTTTCGGTGCCTGCCGGGAGCCACGTAGCGAGCCAGAAGGCTGAGAGGGTATGCAAGGTCAGGTCGTGTGCAAGTCATCAGGTACATGAGGCAGCCCACAAGCTCTAAATACGGGCCACTCGGCTCTATGGACTCGTCCGAAGGTGGAGCTGAGAGCGAGTGACCGGTAGGCAGAGGAGTGGACTGTGGCGAGGAGTAGGTGAAGCCGAAGCGCTGAAGGACCTGCTGCACCATGTGTGACTGAGTCAAGGTAATGGTGCGATGTGCCCTGTCCCGGGTGATCCGCAAGCCAAGATAGCTTGTCAGCTCACCCAGTTCTGTGCACGTGTGTCTCTTCTGCAGCTCGGACTTCACGTGGGCGAGTGCCTCCGTGTCAGCAGTAGCAAAGACAAGGTCGTCTACGTACACAAGAACGTAGAACGGCGGCAGAGTAGCGTCAGTGCGTAGAAACAGAGAAGGGTCAGCAGTGGACGGAGCAAAACCAAGAGCAGCAAGAGTCGTCCTGAGCGTGTCGTGCCACTCACGGGGCGCCTGGCGGAGACCGTAGACTGGCCGCCGGAGGCTCCACTGGGTACCAGTAGGAAACGACCCAGTGAAGCCAGGTGGGCGGCGCAGCCAGATCTCCTCGTGCAGGCTGCCCTGTAGGAAGGCTGTGCTGAAGTCAAGCGAGTGGAGCTCGTAGTCACGCTGAGCAGCAACGTGCAGCAGTACCCGAAGAGTGGTCATCTTCGGGGTAGGGGAGAAGGTCTGAAAGAAGTCAACTCCCTGTCGCTGACTGAAGCCACGTGCAACGTAACGCGCCTTGAAGGCAGGCGGAGAACCCGGCGGCCGCTTCACCCTGAAGATCCACATGCCACTAACGATGTTCGCCCCAGGTGGGGGAACCTCGTCTACGTAGGTGCCTGTGGACTTCCAGGAAGCCATCTCTGCGTCCATGGCTGCCTGCCACTGAGAGGAGTAGGGACCCTCTATCGCCTCTGCGTAAGAGCGTGGGGTCGGGATGTCTAGTGCATCCGGGTCTCCCTCAGGGGCAAGCAGCATGGACACGAGATGAGGTGAAGCAGCAGCAAAACACTCAAGGTCCTCCTGTCTGTCCTCAAGGACGTCCGTGCCAAGAGCACACTCACCCCCGACGGACGGAGGACAGACAGACGCAGACGTAGACTCAGTAACAAGACTAGCAGCGTAGTCTAGGCGACAGGCCGCAGCAAAGTCAACAAGCTCAGCAACAAGAGGAGACGCAGCAGAGGACTCAAACAGAGGGTCAGTGACAGCAGTGGCCAGAAAGCGGGTGACAGTAGGACTAGCAGCACGAAGGGAGTCAGACTCCGGGTCCGGACCGTCAGGAAGAGAGGACGTAGGAGGAGAGGGCAGAGGGACACGCTGTGGAGCAGTAGAAGGACGCAGTGTCACAGAGTGAGTGCCTGGGACAGGAGGAAGACGCGGACGCGAAACACGACCAGTGCGAACAGGACGGACAGGCGACGCAGAACAAGACGCAGGCGACACAGGACGAGACTCAGGCTCCCGACGCTCCGTAAGACCTCTAGACGGACCGGAGTAAGGAGAAAGACCAGGCAGCGGAGAGGCCGGCTGCAACTACGACTGGGACTGGACAGGCGGTGGACTCAGGAAAGGAGGAGGAGGACCAGGAGAAGGCGGGGAGCCAAGAACCTGCTGAAGGAGCGGAACGTAGTACGGCCGCGGCCGCGCAGCGCCTCCAAAGACAGCAGAGACAGAACCGGTACCCTCAGCCCCATGGCCTCCAGTCCCAGCAGTACCTCCAGCAGCTCCAGCAGCACCTCCAGCAGCACCAGCACCTGGAGTACCTCCAGCAGCTCCAGCTCCAGCACCACCTCCAGCAGCGCCAGCACCTCCAGTAGCTCCAGTAGTACCTCCAGTACCTCCAGCAGCACCAGCACCAGTAGTACCTCCAGCAGCTCCAGCACCAGCAGCACCTCCAGCAGCACCAGCACCCGGAGCACCTCCAGCAGCTCCAGCTCCAGCACCACCTCCAGCAGCGCCAGCACCTCCAGCAGCACCAGTAGCACCTCCAGCACCTCCAGCAGCCCCAGCACCAGCAGCAACCCGACCGCGCCGAGAGTACCACTCACGAAGGCGCAGTGGAGAGAGAGGCTCCCGCCGCGACGGGACACCGAGAACACCTCCAGACGCAGCACGCGCAGGTGTAGTACCCCCAGTCTCAGCACCCCCAGTCTCAGCACCCCCAGACTCAGCACCCCCAGTCTCAGCACCCCTAGCAGCACCTGAGGCGACAGCTAACTCGACCGGCTCGGCAGGGTCTACCTGGGACACACCTGAGGGGGCAGGACCCTGGGGGGGGAGGGGGTCTACCAGGGGAGTACCTGGTGCCAGGAAGAGTGGCGGGGGGGGGGGAGAGGCAGTGCGGTAGGGAAAGAGACGGTAGTACGACACCGACTCGTCAAACGTGACGTCCTGAGAGGACAGAACACGACGCGAGGTGGGGTGGTAGAACTGCCACCCGGGTGCGTCAGGAGGGAAGCCAAGGAAGACACAGGGAACGGCACAGGAGGACAGCTTGTCCGCTGTAGTATCGCGGACAAAAGCTTGAGATCCCCAGACACGGAACGCGGACGCATCGCCAACCTTCCCCGTCCACCGCAGAGTAGGTGTGGTCTCCGGCAAGGAGACACGAGGCTGAAGGTTGATCTGATGCGCAGCGCACTGAACCGCGAACGGCCACAGAAAATGGGGAGCAGCCGCATGGATCATGGACGTACGAGCGACATCCATGACCATGCCAATTCGGCGCTCAGCAATCCCATTTTGCTGCGGGGAGGCCGGAAGCGTGAACGTCTGGCGGATGCCCTCCAACCGACAGAAGGCTCTCAGGAGGTCGGAGGAAAACTCCCCGCCTCTGTCTGAGTGCAGACGCAGAACAGGAAGGTCGGAGCCGAAACTCTCACTAAGCTGGCGACGAGCACCGCGGATCCAGTCGATCAACACCTCAGTGACCTCACCCTTGCTGCGCAAGGGGAAGACTGTGGTGTAACGCGAGTAGTCGTCAACGACCAGCAGAAAGTAACGCTCATGACCCTGTCCACGGACGCGGGCTGGGCCCCACACGTCCATGTGAAGAGTCTGCAGAGGGGCCTCAGTCGGAGGAAACGAGGAGGAGTGAGGAGCGGCGCGCTGCGGGACCTCGACACAAGGAACTCAGGTGGGGGCAGGCCCCGGAGGAAGGGGAGGGAGGGACCTGGGGAGGCCAGAGACAAGAGCACGGGAGGCCATACCTCGAAGACGAGGCAGGGAGGGGTGACCAAGGCGGTGGTGCCAAAGGAGAGTCTCGTGCGCCAGAGGACGACACGAGCAGGGGGCAGACGCAGGACCAGACCTGGACGCAGCAGCAAACACCTGACTGGACGCAGCCACCTGACCAGACGCAGGGACCGGAGGAGGCTCAGTAGTCAGTGTGTACAGACTCGACCCTGGCCGACGGGTGAAAGTGGCTAGGTGGCGGCCCGTCCGAGAGCAAGTGCAGTGGGTCACACGCTGACCTCCAGGGGTGAACTGGTCAACCCACGCGTCCTGGAGGTCAGCTCCACTCACCAAGTTCGTAGAGAACGAGGGGAGGTGGAGTCCCGACAGCAAGCCCGACGGGGCCGCAGGACACGGTAGAACCATGGAGGAGTGTGCAAGGACTGGGCCCCCGGAGGGGTCAGCAAGGGAGACCGCAACAGGCCGACGGAGCGGCGTGAGCGTGGTGCTGTCTCTAAAGAAAGAGCGCGAAGCACCAGAGTCAAGTGTGAAGGTGTGAAAGGACTCAGTAGGTGCATTACCAGAGAGAGGAGACGTACCAGCACCTGGAGCAGCAGACGCACGAGCACCTAGAGCAGCAGCCGCACTAGCACCCAGAGCAGCAGCCACAGTGCCCGGGTCGGGCGGGACACGCAGGTAACAGTCACCCTCAGTAATATCAGCAAAAGCATACATGGCAGCAAGGATAGCATCAAAGTCTAGATCAAAGATAGGCACATTCTGCAGAAGCAGATCATGCCAACGAGGAAGCTCAACAGCGTCAGGAAACTGGGCACGCCAAGCGTCAGTCAAGCGGCCGAAGCAGCGCTGCGTGGTGTGTGGGAGACCACACACCTCCCCACTCCGAGTGCCGGTGCGAAGAACGTAAGAGCAGGGACCCGCACCCCCAGACCTCCCACGCCCAGCGTACCACTCACGAAGCTGCTGAACCGACGGGGTCTCACGGGTGCGCTGCTGCTGCTGGCGCTGGCTGCCACCAAGGCCTCCACGCGGCGTAGCCGCACCCCGACCAGCACCACCTCCTCCGCTACCTCCACCACCGCTGCCGCCGCCTCCACCCCCTCCGCTACCGCTGCCACGGCCTCCACTGCCGCCACCGACTCCCCCACTCCTGGTACCACCCCCACCACCACCTCCACCTCCTCCACCACCCCCTCCACCGCCCCCACCGCTTCCCCCACCGCCCCCTCCACCACCCCTGCTGCCCTTGCCCTTGCCGGGGCGGCGTCGCCCAGTAGAGGCAGACGCAGCGCCGACCTCCTCAGTGCCAACGAGGTCGACAGCAGCAGCAGAGGCAACAGAGGGGAGAAGGGGGACAGGGGAACACCCCTCAAAGAAGGGGGTGCGACGGTCGCCGCGAGAAGCACCTACAGCTAAGATACTCTTCTCAGCTGCAGCAAGGCGCTCCTCTAGCAAGTCGACAGTCAGCTCGGTGGGGCAAAGGGAGAGGAAGTGATCCCTAACTGAGGAGAGAGAGTCAGGGAGGCGGGTGACTAGGTAGTAAAGGGTGATGTACATGGGGGGGGAGTTCGTGGGAAGAAACTCAGTGGGAAGGGCAGCGCGGTAGCGAGCGTCACTAGTGCGGAGGTGAGCAACTAGGTCAGCAACAGTGGCAAAGGCGGCAAGGTCAGGAAAGAGGTACGGCAGCATGAGGCGGCTGAGGGCAGCAGTGGTAGGGGAGGAGTAGCGTGCAACTACAGCGTCGTACAGAGCCCTAGCACTCTTGTACTGACTAAAGTGCGCACACTCAGTAGACGGCAGGTGATTGCGCACAGCAAGACGAGCAGCAGCATCGCGCGTGAGCCACTGCGAGCGAACAGTACTGTCAGCATCAGCAGCAGGGGCAGTAGAGGCGCCAGACGTGAGATCGAACAGTGAGAGGCCATCCTTGCTATCGCACTGTAGGAAAAGCTGCAGATCATCTAGCCAGACCTCAAAGTCAACAGCACGACCCTCAGCATCAAAGGTAAGAACATTGAGACTAGCCATGACAGGTGCAGCAGCAGGCTAGCAGCAGCAGCGGTGCAACTCGGCAGGGCAGGCTAGGCAGGGCGGCGCGGCTCGGCAGGGCGGCACTCTTACCAGTGGCGAGGCCGGGGCAGGGCCGGGGTAGGGCCGCGACAGTGCAGGAGCAGGGCAGGGGCAGGGCCGGGGCAGAGCCGGGGCAGGGCTGGGGCAGGGCCGGGGCAGGGCAGGGGCAGGGCCGGGGCAGAGCCGGGGCAGGGCCGGGGCAGGGCCGGGGCAGGGTCGGAGCAGGGCCGGGGCAGGGCCGGGGCAGGGCCGGGGCAGGGCAGGTGCAGGGCCGGGGCAGAGCCGGGGCAGGGCCGAGGCAGGGCCGGGGCAGGGTCGGAGCAGGGCCGGGGCAGAGCCGGGGCAGGGCCGGGGAAGGGCCGGGGCAGGGCCGGGTCAGGGCAGGTGCAGGGCCGGGGCAGAGCCGGGGCAGGGCCGGTCCAGGGCCGGGGCAGGTTCGGAGCAGGGCTGGGGCAGGGCCGGGGCAGGGCAGGTGCAGGGCCGGGGCAGAGCCGGGGCAGGGCCGAGGCAGGCCCGGGGCAGGGCCGGGGAAGGGCCGGAGCAGGGCCGGGGCAGGGCAGGTGCAGGGCCGGGGCAGAGCCTGGGCAGGTCCTGCAGCAGAGCCGGCGCAGGGCCGCGACAGGTTGGGGTAGGGCCGGGCGGGGCCTTACGGGGCCACTAACGGGGCCTGCCGGGGCCGTACGGGGCCTCTAACGGGGCCTGACGGGGCCTGCCGGGGCCGTACGGGGCCTGACGGGGCCTTATGGGGCCGAACGGGGCCTTAAGGGGCCTTAAGGGGCCTTACGGGGCCTTAAGGGGCATTACGGGGCCTTACGGGGCCTAAAACGGGGCCTTACGGGGCCTTAAACGGGGCCTTACGGGGCCGTACGGGGCATGATAACGGGGCCTTACGGGGCCGGCGCTAGCTCTAAGGGCAGGCGCAGGGGCCACTACGGGCCTCGAAAGGGTAGGCGCGACGCGCGCGTCGAGTAGGTACGAAAAATTTAGTGGTGGGCCCTTTAAAAAGAACTCGAAACTAGCTCTATACCATGTGAAAGAATAGACGAAAGAATGATGGAATTAGGAAAATGAGAAGGGTACAAGTAGGAAACACCTAAGTGTTGTACCCTCTAAGGACTACCCCACTACAGCCTAAACAGACTATAGTAAATATATGTTTGACAAAAATCTTATATTGCTTTCTTTGTGTAGGCTATAGTGGGGTAGCCCATAAGGGGTACAACCCAATTAGGGTTAGTACTTGCACCCAACTGTTTCATAGTTCATCCATTCTCGTTCATTCTTCTGATAGTAGTGCCTGCACGAGGGCTAGTCTGGATCTGGTACTGGCAGGGTCCAATGTTGCGGCCACCATGACTACCCCTCTAGGTGTCTGTGCAGACACTCCCCAGACCACCATGCCCCCACTGCTGCTGAGAGCGCCACTGCTGCTGAGGGCACCACTCCTGCTGAGAGCGCCTTTGTTGCTCAGAGCGCCACAACTGTTGAGGTCCCTGCTGCTGAAACTGCTACTGCTGTTGCTGCTGCTGTAGAACCCATAGTAAATCGCTAGCTGGGCGAAGGGGAGGCAGGCTAAAAACAATTGGCGTGAGGAATTGCTGGAGCAAGATTGGCTGGAGCTGGGAATAGCTAGAGGTAGGACTAGTTGGAGCTAAGAATCGCTGGAGCACATAGTAATAAGGAACATCAGGCTAGAGCTGAAAACGGCTAGAGCTACAACGGGTGGAGCACAAGTGTCTGGAGGTAGAAGCGGCTGGAGCTAGGAGCTGCTGGAGCAAGAGTGGTTTGAGCTAGGACCGGCTGGAGGTAGGAACAGCTAGGACCACTAGGCTAGAAGCGGCTGGCACGAGGAGCGGCTGGAGCGAGGAGTGACAAGAGACACCAAGCTAGAGCTAGAAACGGCTGGATATAAAATTGCTGGAGCACGAGTGGCTGGAGTTAGAACCGGGTGGAGTTAGGAAAGCCAGTAATGTCGGGGCACTAACTGTAATCCGCACCAGTAGAAGTAGCTGCCGATGCCAACCGCCACTAGAGATGCCTATGGTAGTAGGCGTGTTGGAGACAACGGGCACCGCTGGCGGCTGCAAGGGCGGGGTATAGGTAGGTAAGGCGCGGGTACGTTCTGTCGCAGTGGCAGCTGTGGTGCGCTGTGGCGGCTAAGAGGGTGCTGTGGGCGGCTACGGACGGCTGTGGGCCCTTGTGGGCGGCTATTGCCGGTTGGGAAGGGCTATGGGCAATTGGAAAGGGCTGTGGTCGCCCTGGCCTGGCTGGTCTATCTGGCGTGCATGCTGGTCAAGCAGTGGTGCGAGTGCGCCCCGGGCGAAGGGCGCGCGCTGACGAGGGGAGGGGCGTGCGCTGCTCTGGCTAAGGCATGCGCTGCTCTAGTTGGGGCGCGTGCTGCTCTGGGTGGGGCATGCACTGCTCTAGCTGGGGCATGTGCTGCTCTGGCTGGGGCGCGCATTGCTCTGGCTGGGGCGCGCACTGCTCTTGCTGGGGCGCACGCTGCTCTAGCTGGGGCGCGCGCTTCTTTTGCAGGGGTGCGTGCTAATCTAGCAGGGGCGCGCGAAGCCCTGGTTGTGGCAACTAGGAGGGGAGGGCGCGCTACGGCTAGTATGGCGGGCAGAGGCGCCACGGCGCGGTTAGGACTGCTTACTAGCACGAGGGAGTAAAGAGGGAGGGAGGAACTTTAGGAATATAATGCATCTTAGGCCTAGGAAGTTTCTTAGCTTGATACCATCTCAATGTACTAGCGAAATTATGATAATTAGGTCAAAGTGGGGGGTACAAGCAAAGTATCGAGGGATTTTATGTACCCCCTAACATTCAACTAACTACAGCCTATATACAGATGTAAATATTGTTTGACAGAAATTCACGGGATTTGCTATTCAACAATACCATGTGGCAAGGTACGCATTTATAATGTTAGTTAGTGTACACCAATGTAAGAGCTCCAACCACTAAACTACTGCAATAAAGGGGCTTGTTAAGTAGCGGGTCTTTACGCCCATAACCCCACCCAGGCTTGTAAGCTTGTAACCCTTCTCTAGGATCAATCGGGCATCACCAGCTCAAAGGGCTTACCTTATCAGACTAAAATAGTATGATTGACTGAGATCTCAGAGTATTTTTCAGAATGTTCCTGATTTTTCAGACTTGGCGGATTTTCAAACATGAACACTTGAGACTTGCACTTTTCTTAATACTGAGAAATCATAGTATAGACTAAGGAGGATAATGGGTCGTCAGACTACATTGAGTACGGACACTAATATGAGAATATATGGTTTCTACAAAGTTTCGTATATGTCATTTGTTGCCATGATACAAAAACACCCACCACCCTGTCACGTGCAAAATCCGCACTTGAAATATTTTGCCGCCCGTTTTCCGACGAAATGCAGCCAAATTGTCGCGCTGTAGCAATAATGTGCCAAAATTGTCGCAGCCACGTGGTATCAGCTGCGGTAAAACTGCATGCTAGAGCATTAGGGCTCTCCCTAGTTTTTGAACCCATATGATGTATCACACGCTCTATGTTTTTTTTTTTGTCTGATGAATCAGGAAAAAAAAGGGAAAAAAAAAAGTGCCTACTGTATCAGACGAAAATTGGATTCGATTTCTGATTGTAAACTGCAGATTTTTCTCATTCAATATGACAAGGGAGTTGGGTTTGGTTCAGTTGGGAAAGAAAAAGCCTGCGCCTTCAAAAGGGTTCGAATGGAAGACCTCAAGCATCAGGGACACATACCCGTACCAATTAAGCCACGCTGAAGATAAAGTATCTTACACATTCCATAAAACGCTCTAGGAGGGGAAATCTCACGCCTGTTCATGCCTAAATTGTCATAACATTATAGCTTTGACATTTGTGTAGGCTATAGTGGGGTAGACCATATGGGGTACAACCCAATTAGGGTTAGTACTTGTACCCAACTGTTTGCTAGTTCATTCATTCTCGTTCGTTATTTTGACATGGTATCAAAGCGGTCTCGGGTTCAAATCCCGGTGTATGCACATTTCGTCCATTGCCGCTGTGCTCAGTCCTGGGCCTCCCAGTGTGGGGGGGTGTCAGTAGATCTGAACTGTGGATGCCCGATTGATCCTAGGGGGGTTACAGGCGCGTTCGCTTGGGGGGTTATGGGCGCACTGACCTGCTACTTAACATGTCCTTTTATCCCAATGGTCTAGTGGTTGGAATTCTGACATGGTATCAGAGCCAAGGACTTAACAAGCCCTTTTATCCCAAAGCAACGAGATCCCCAGACCCGGAACACCGACGCATCGCCAACCTCCCCTGTCCAACGCAGTGTGGGCGAGGTCTTCGGCAAGGAGACACGGGGCCAGAGGTTGAGCTGATGCGCAGCGTACTGGACCGCAAACGGCCACGGAAAATGGGGAGCAGCCGCATGGATCATGGAGGTACGAGCGACCTCCAAGACTAAGCCAATGCGGCACTCAGTAATCCCATTTTGGTGAGGGGAGTCCGGAAGCGTGAACGACTGGAGAATGCCCTCCCCACGACAAAAGTCCCGCAAGAGGTTGGAGGAGAACTCACCACCTCTGTCAGAGTGCAGACGCAGGACAGGAAGGTCCTGGCCGAACCGCTCGCGCAGCTGGAGACGGACCGTGCGGATCCAAGGGATCAAGACATCAACGACTTGACCCTTGCTGCGCAAGGGGAAGACCGTGGTGTACCGCGTGTAGTCGTCAACAACCAGCAGAAAGTAGCGCTCGCGGCTCTGTCCACTGACGCGGGCTGGGCCCCACACGTCCATGTGGAGAGTCTGTAGGGGAGCAGTCGTCGGGGGAAATGAGGAGGAGTGAGGAGCGGTGCGCTGCCGCCCCTCGATGCAAGGGAGGCAGGGTGGGGCAGGCGAGGGCGGCAGGGGAGGCAGAGACCTGGGTAGACCAGAGACAAGAAGACGAGAGTGCATGCCACGAAGGCGAGGCAGGGA